ACCGCTTCCCTCGAGGAGGGCGATCGCCCTGGCATAACGCCGGGGGCTACTGTCGGTGACATGGGACCGGGAGTATCATGACTTAGAGACTTGAGGCAGACACGATCACCCACGTGGCCTAACCCCCTCGGGGGGGGGGGGTCGGGCCCGAGGGTGATACGGCCGCCCTTCTCTTTGTCTCCCCGAGGGGTCGGACCGCTCCCGTCTCGGCCCCGAGGGCCGAGGCGCCCCGACCCCTTGTGGGTTTTGCGCCGCGTATATGGGGTAGGTGAGCATAGTGGGGCTCACCTAACCACATTTATTGCGGTTTGGACGAGCGCGTCACGCCGCATGTAACGCAGTGCAGCGCGCTCGTTTATCCGGTCTGTGACCAGTCACAGACCGATCAGATCGTGGGTTAGGTGGCGACAGGCGGTCTGACGTACGCCTCGCCCCATCCCGTCAGGATGAGAGCCTCCAAGCACTCGTCCCTAGCCGGAGCCGGCGTGTTAGCTCCTGGAGATGGCACGTTGGTCCCGGTCAGATATATACCAGGCTTCATCCTAACCATTACAAGCAAGACATTGTATGAAGAGGGGCGAACATGCAGATTGATAAACTGACGCGTGGTGGACAAGAATGACCGATTTGTGACCGGTCTGACACTGATCATGTCGTCAGCAGACAGCCATGTTCCCACGTCGCGCCTGCTTCCGGCGGAAGTGGAGGTAGGTATGGGCTGTCCCATCAGAAGGTCATTCGGACGGCAACCATACAAGTCTCCGTCTGTTTATGAAAAGATAGGATAAGTCCCCACAAAAAAGAGAGAGATGGTGCATGTGGTATCCCCTTGAGGTATAAAAGGAGGACCTTGCCCACTTAGAAGGGTGATTGATTTTCGAATCCAGAACGATCAGAGAGGGAGAGAGTAAGAGCTCTCTGGTTCTCCAGCTCTTTTGTAGCTTCTTCATACATAGATCCACAAAAACACAGGAGTAGGGTATTACGCTTCTCAGCGGCCCGAACCTGTATACATCGCCCGTGTCTTGTGTGTTTCCATTCTCGCGAACCTTCCACACACAGACTAGGAGCTTAGAATCTCACCCAGGGCCCCCGGCCGAACCGGCAAAGGGGGGCCTGCGCGGTCTCCCGGTGAGGAGCCCCACGCTCCGTCAGGCGAGAATAGCCCTCGCCGTGGCACTTACAATCTCACCGATCGGTTCCAAATCAGTTCCAACAAACCCGGATAATCAGGAACACAATCGGCATACATTGGATAGGAAGATATCACAAGTGCCAACTAATCTATTCTTATCTCTAGAAACCATATCATCTAACACCCTCCCTCAATCACAACTTTCCTAAGTTGAGATTGTATCTAAAATTTTCTAGCTGTCTAACAGAAAGAGGTTTAGTAAAACCATCTGCCACTTGATCTCTTGTAGAAACATAATCTACCTGCAAAAGCTTCTGTGCTACTCTTTCTCGAACAAAATGATAGTCAACTTCAATATGTTTAGTTCTAGCATGAAAAACAGAATTAAAGGATAGGTACCTTGCTCCCATATTATCACACCACAACTACGCTGTAGAAGGACTGCTTATATGTAACTCTTGTAAAAGTGTTTGCACCCGCATAATTTTTGCTGTAGCATTAGCCAAAGCTTTATACTCAGCTTCAGTGCTAGATCTTGACACTGTAGCTTGTTTCTTAGCATTCTAGGATACTAAGTTGTCTCCCAAATATACAGCAAAACCACCGGTAGATCTTCTGTCATCAAGACATCCTGCCCAGTCTGCATCAGAGTAAGCACTTAGACTAACATATCTTGAGTCCAAGTTTTGTACATTGTCTCAAATATCTTAGAATTCTCTTAACTGCTGCCCAATGTAGAGTAGTTGGAGCATGAAGAAACTGATATACCTTATTTACTGAGAAAGCAATATCTGGTCTAGTCAAAGTTAAATACTGTAAAGTTCCTACAATACTTCTATATTGAGTAGCATCATTTTGTCCCAAAACTGTACCCTCGTTAGCAACCAATTTCTCATTAGGAGATAAAGGTGTATTAACTGACTTGCAGTCACTCATACCAGTTCTTTTCAATAAATCAGATACATATTTCTCCTGGGTTAATAATATTCCATTGGAAAGCTTTGTTACCTTTATACCAAGAAAGTAGTGTAGATCACCAAGATCCTTAAGAGCAAACTCCTTTTGAAGATCCTGTAATAAAGCTGGTATTGCATCCTTCTTTGAGCTCACAACAATTATATCATCAACATAGATAAGCAGAAACATGATATGGTTAAATCTCCTTTACTATAAAAGAATAACGATGTATCTGTCTTAGATCCTCTAAAACCAAGATCATAAAGCTTGTTACTCAACCTAGAGTACCAATCCCTGGGTGCTTGCTTCAGACCATATAAAGTTTTATCCAGCTTACAAACATAATTAGGATTAGAGGAACTTTCATAACCTGGCGGCTGCTTCATATAAACCTCTTCTTCAAGAACTCCATGAAGAAAAGCATTCTGTACATCAAGTTGTCTGAGACTCCATCCCCTTGAGACTGCAACGGACAAGATAATCCTAATAGTAGCTCCTTTAACAACAGGACTAAAGGTGTCCTCAGCTTAAAACCTTTTGCAACTAGGCGAGCTTTATATCTATCTAGACTACCATTCTGCTTCCTTTTAATTTTATATACCCATTTACAATCAATGATATTCCTGCCTTTCTGAGGAGGAACTAAATGCTAGGTTTTATTTTTAATTAGTGCCAAATACTCTGCATCCATCGTCTCTTTTCAATTATTATTATTTAAAGATTCTTGTAAATTTTGTGGCTCACTAGTATAGATAAAAAAACCCCATTTAACCGTATCGTCAGTGTAGACTTTTTCCTTCCTGATCCCACTTTGCAGACGTGTGCGAGGACGATAAGGATCACTGCCATCATTGATCTCAGCTGCTGTGACAGATGTTGAGGGATTCTCTGTGGTTTGCTCCTGAGTAGAAGAGTTGCCCCCGGCCGCAGAAGATCCCGACACAGGAGCTGCCGCAGGAGAGGATGATGACGCTGTGGAGGCCGCGACTTCGGTGTGCGCCGATGTGGAGGAAGACGTGCCACCACCACAAGGAGAGTGAGCACGTGGTGAAGCCGGAGCAGATGGCGCAGAGGGTGACGTCGGCAGCTGTGTCGATCCCGAGGACTGGTGTGTTGCAGCTGCGGAGGAGGATGCGGACTCTGGTCCAGCATCGTTGCATGGCGCTGTAGCATCTGTGACTTGCTGCAAAACTGCATGAGTTTCATCAGGATTTTCAGGAGAATTATTCACATGACAATTTTGTTGTTGACCTATGGGAGCTAGTGACGACGCATCTAGAAGCAGAGTAATCTCAGCACGGACTCTAGCTCCTGCATTTGGGAGAAGCTTGGCAAAAGGAAATTTAGTTTCATCAAAAATAACATCACGAGAAATGTAAACTCGTCCAGTAGAGAGATCAAGGCACTTGAACCCTTTATGAAAAATACTATAGCGAAATTGGAGTTTGTGTTTATTGTAGGGGCGTAAGTTTGGCCAGCAAGAGCAACTAAACATACGGAGAGCATTGTAGTCAGGTTGTTTTGCAAAAAGTTTTTCTAATGGAGATATATCTTTGAGAACTCTACTAGGGATACTATTAATCAAGTAGATTGCAGAAAGAAAAGCTTCATCCCAAAATTTTAATGGCATGGAAGAGTGAGCTAACAAAGAAAGCCCAACTTCAACTATATGACGATGTTTTCTTTCAGCAGACCCATTCTGTTGGTGAGTGTGAGGACAAGAGATATGATGAGTGATGCCAGCTTTTTGAAAGAAGGTATGAAGTTTCTGATATTCCCCACCCCAGTCAGTTTGCATGGCTATAATCTTTCTATTGAACAGTCTTTCAACTAACTGTTGAAAATCATGAAACTTCTGAAACACATCAGATTTATACTTAAGTAAATATATCCATGTAAATTTACTATAATCATCAATAAAACTCACATAATACTTAAAACCACCAACAGATTGTGGTGCATCACCCCACACATCTGAATAAATAAGTTCCAAAGGATATTTAGACTCACTAGAAGACCTAGGAAAGGTCAATTGATGACTTTTTGCTCTTTGACATGCATCACAAACATAACTTTTATTGGATGCATCTAAACAGGTTAACTTATGACTCTTAATGACCTTCTCTACAACAGTGTAGGAAGGGTGATCAAGACGACTATGCCACCTCTCGAGGGATGGCGTGAACACTCCATGGACTTGTTTTATTTGGTGTTGACTTGGCGATGCAGGTGGGAGAGCATATAGTCCTTTATGACATCGACCCCCTAAGTAGAGTTCTCTTCGTGGCCAGATCCTCGATACAGAAAAACTTACGATATAATTCTATGAAGACAAAATTATCACAAGTAAGGCGATAAGCTGAAACAAGATTTTTACTTGCCTTGGGAGCATATAGGATATTATTTAAATAGAGATTACGAATAGGGGTCTTAACAACAGAATTGCCAATATGACTAATTTCCATACCTGCACCGCTTGTGTGAATTTGGTCGTTGCCATGGTATTTGTCACGCACTGTCAACTTTTCCAAGTCGCCCGTGACATGATCTGTTGTGCCAGTGTCAAGATACCAGTTGGTATCAACACCATATGAGGCTGCTGATCCTGCAAATCGTTCATCGGGAACAAAGTTTTCATTGTAACGGTACCAACAATCCTTTACCGTATAACCTCTCTTGTAGCATAGCTGACACTTAGGTCTGTTGTCGATGATTGCAGGGCTGCCACGACCGCCGCTAGGGTTGCCTCGGCCTCTTCCGCCGCGGCTGCTGCTGTTGGTGAAGTTGCCGCCATGGGTACAGTTGTTGCTGGTGACGTTGTTGCTGCCTGTGCCGCGCGGCCCGCAGCCGTGGCTGGCGCTGTTAGCCGATGCTTGGCTTTCTTCTCCACGGTGAAGCAGGAGCCTGTGCTCGAAGCTTAAAAGCTGAGCAAAAGCCTCGCCGACGGAAACTTGGTCTGGCCGCCCAACAATGGATTGGATCACAGGTTCGTAATCCTCGTCGAGGCCGGCGATGATGTAGCTGATGAGGTCGTCGTCGTCGACCACCTTGCCGGTGACCGCGAGCTCGTCCGCCAGCGCACGCATCTTGCCGACGTAGTTGGCCACCGTCATGTCGCCTTTCTTCAGAGTTATGAGGGAGAGACGCGTATTGATGCATCGCGCCCTTGTCATCGAGGAGAACATCCCCTCAACCATGCTCCATGCTGACGTCGCCGTGGTACATGCAGCAACTTGGACAAGCATATCTTTAGTCATGGAAGATAGGAGGTAGGAGAGAACTGTTAGAATAAATAGGCTAGGCCCGATTTTTCTATTAAAATCTCAAGGGCCCATAATAAATGTTAAGGATAATAATACCACCCTAGGAATTAAAAGTGGAGTATCTCAACTTAAATTGGGAGTTATTGTAGGTTCCCTGTTGACCGGTTGAGGTGGGGATCGGAAAGCCACACGCGCGCGCGTGCGCGCCGAGCCGGCCGGCCCGGGCTGAGGCCGTGGCCATGGCGAGGCGAGCGTTGCGACTGCGACTCTCTCTCTCTCTATCATTTTGCAACGGACCGGAATCCAACCCCACGTGATTGCCTCTCTAACGGGCAGGCGATTCAATACGCATTGATCGTGCCGTTACTGCGGCAACGGGCGGATTCATCTCCTGCGTTATTAGGAAACCGAGAACCCTGATCAGATCTTCACGCTAACTTTCCAAACGCTGGTTCTTCCTCCTTGCGCCTGTGCTGTACAATCCAGCGGAGGGACTTTCACAGGGTATAACTTTCTACCATGATCTTTGTGTTTGTTGCTTTTGTTGGTCGCAATACTATTGCGTTCTCTCTATGATGATGATGCTTATTCTATCCTAAGCATGCTCCTGGTTATGTTTAATTTTATCACTAGATCACCTCACATTGTTCATGCCATGATTATTGTCTTAATATTTTAGATTAAAATATGCCGATATATGACTATATTTCCAACAATCCAAAAACTTGATAGGTCATTTTCGGTAGTTAGCTTTGCTACTGCACTGAAACCACATGCTTTTGATGGTTCTAATTATAAGAGATGGAAAGCAAGTGCACTACTGTGGTTGACAGCGATGTAATGTTTCTATGTTTCACGGGGTAAACGAAGTGAACCACCTGTCTCTCCTGAGGAGAAGGTTAAGTTCGAGGCTTTGGATTGCCTGTTCCGTGGAGCATTGATCAGTGTACTCGCTGACAATATAGTGGACGTGTATATGCACATACCTTCAAGGAAGGACATGTGGAATGCACTTGAGGCCAAGTTCGGAGTTTCCGACGCCGGCAGCGAGCTGTATGTCATGGAGCAGTTCTATGACTACAAGATGGTCGATGACCGTTCTGTAGTGGAACAAGCTCATGAGATTCAGATGCTGGCTAAGGAGCTTGAGAACAACAAGTGTGAGTTGCCGGACAAGTTTGTGGCGGGTGGCATTATTGCCAAATTGCCACCTTCTTGGTCAGACTTTGCCACTTCTCTAAGGCACAAGAGACAAGAGTTCCGTGTTTCTGATCTCATTGGCTCTTTGGGTGTTGAGGAGAAGGCGAGGGCAAAGGACAACCGGGGCAAAAAGGTTGAGGGAGGTTCTAGTGCCAATATGGTACAGAAGAAGAACACTCATGCATCCCACAATAGCAAGAAAGTCAAGTCTGATGTCAAACCTAAGGCTAGAACCAATTTTAAGAAGAAAGGCAAGGGAAAGGCAAAGGGAGACTGCTTTGTGTGTGGCAAGTCTGGGCATTGGGCCGAGGACTGTCCTGAGCGCAAAGACAGGAAGTCTGCCAACATGGTCATTAGTGAGGGCGGAGGAACATCGGGGTACGGTAAAATTTTACCTACAGTTCTCTCTGTTTTTCATTCACCTGATTGGTGGATTGATACTGGTGCTAATATTCATGTATGTGCTGATATTTCCCTGTTTTCTTCTTATCAGGTCGGGAGAGGTTCCTCCTTGTTGATGGGAAACGGGTCACTTGCTAATATTCATGTATGGGTTGTTCATGGTGTTGGTACGGTCGATCTGAAGTTTACTTCGGGAAAGACCGTGCAGCTGAAGAACGTGCAGCATGTCCCTTCAATAAAGAAGAATCTAGTTAGCGGCTCTCTACTGTGTAGAGAAGGTTTTAGACTTGTGTTTGAATCCAATAAATGTGTCGTATCTAAATATGGAACTTTTATTGGAAAAGGTTATGACAGCGGAGGCTTGTTCCACTTTTCTTTGGATGACATGCGTAATAATAATAATGTTGTGAACCATATTAGCGAGAATGATGAGTCCAATGTGTGGCATTCGCGACCCTGTCATGTGAATTTTGGTTGTATGACACGCTTGGCTAACATGAGTTTAATTCCAAAATTCACTTTGGTCAAAGGTTCCAAGTGCCATACTTGTGTTCAATCGAAACAACCTCGCAAGCCTCACAAGGCATCTGAGGCGAGAGATTTGGCACCTCTAGAACTTCTTCATTCCAATCTGTGCGAAATGAATGGCGTGTTGACTAAAGGGGGAAAGAAATATTTCATGACACTGATAGATGATTGCACTAGATTTTGTTATGTGTATCTATTGAAAACAAAGGATGAAGCATTGCATTATTTTAAGACATATAAAGCTAAGGTAGAAAACCAACTTGAAAGGAAAATCAAACGGTTGAGGTCTGATAGAGGTGGAGAGTATTTTTCCAATGAGTTTACATCTTTTTGCGAAGAGTTTGGAATTATTCATGAGAGGACACCTCCCTATTCACCCCAATCAAATGGGGTAACCGAAAGAAAGAACCGTACTCTAACTGAAATGGTGAATGCCATGTTAGACACTGCGAGACTTTCCCAGGAATGGTGGGGTGAGGCAGTTTTGACTGCTTGTCATGTCCTAAATAAAATCCCAATGAAGCATAAGGAAGTAACACCATTCGAGGAATGGGAAAGAAAGAGATTAAATCTCTCATACCTACGAACATGGGGCTGTTTGGCCAAGGTAAATGTACCTATAGCCAAAAAGCGTAAACTTGGACCGAATACTGTTGATTGTGTGTTCCTTGGTTATGCTATTCACAGCGTGGGTTATAGATTCTTAGTAGTAAACTCTGAAGTACCCGACATGCGAGTTGGTACAATTATTGAGTCCAGAGATGCTACATTCTTTGAGAATGAATTTCCCATGAAAAATACACCTAGCACTTCTAATCATGAAACTGTCATACCCCATAAGCACTTTGCACCGATAGAACACAATGATCAAACGCCTGAGGGAAATCCTGAGGAGGATAATATTGTAGATACTCGTAAGAGTAAGAGACAAAGGGTTGCAAAATCCTTTGGAGATGACTACATTGTATACCTCGTGGATGACACTCCAAGAACCATAGAAAAGGCATATTCATCTCCTGACGCTGACTACTGGAAGGAAGCAGTACGCAGTGAGATGGACTCAATTATGTCTATTGGTACTTGGGAAGTCGTTGAGCGTCCATATGGGTGCAAGCCTGTAGGATGCAAATGAGTTTTCTAGAAAAAGCTTAGACCTGATGGTACAATTGAAAAGTACAAGACAAGGCTTGTGGCCAGGGTTATACCCAAAAAGAAGGCGAGGATTTTTTTCGACACCTACTTACCAGTTGCCCGTTTGATCACGATTCGAGTACTACTTGTTCGAGCAGCCTCTCATGGTCTTCTCGTCCATCAGATGGACGTTAAGACAGCTTTCCTAAACGGTGAGCTGGAGGAGGAGATCTATATGGATCAACAAGACAGGTATGTACTAGAAGGTCAGGTGGGAATGGTGTGTAAACTGTTGAAATCCTTGTATGGCCTTAAGCAAGCACCTAAGCAATGGCATGAGAAGTTTGACACCACACTTACATCTACTGGCTTTGTTGTGAACGAAGCTGACAAATGTGTGTACTATCGCTATGGTGGGGGAGAAGGAGTGATCTTGTGTTTATATGTCGATGACATATTGATCTTTGGGATCAGCCTCAATGTGATTGAGGAGGTCAAGGACTTTCTGTCCAAGAGCTTTGAAATGAAGGATTTGGGAGATGCTGATGTTATTCTTAACATTAAGCTACTGAGAGGAGATGAGGGTGGGATTGCACAATCCCACTATGTGGACAAAGTTTTAAGTCGCTTTGGCTATAGTGACTACAAGCCAGCTCCTACTCCTTATGATCCCAGCATGCTATTAAGGAAAAACCGAAGAATAGCAAGGGATCAACTGAGATACTCCTAAATCATTGGTTCATTGATGTACTTGGCTAGTGCAACGAGGCCTGACATCTCATTTGCTGTAAGCAAGCTGAGCTGGTTTGTCTCAAATCCGGGAGATGATCATTGGTAGGCTCTGGAAAGAGTAATGCGCTATCTAAAGGGCACTATGAGCTTTGGAATTCACTATACTGGGTACCCAAAAGTACTGGAAGGGTATAGTGACTCAAACTGGATATCTGATGCTAATGAGATAAAGGCCACAAGTGGATATGTGTTCACACTTGGAGGTGGTGCTGTTTCCTAGAAGTCTTGCAAGCAGACCATCTTAACGAGGTCAACAATGGAAGCAGAACTTACAGCACTAGATACTGCGACAGTTGAGGCCGAGTGGCTTCGTGAACTCCTGATGGATTTGCCGATGGTTGAAAAAACCAGTGCCAGCCATCCTAATGAACTGTGATAATCAAACAGTGATTATTAAAGTGAACAGTTCAAAGGACAACATGAAGTCATCTAGGTATATAAAAAAAGACTGAAATCTATCAGAAAGCAGAAAAACTCCGGAGTGATAGCATTGGACTATGTCCAAACGGCTAAAAATCTGGCAGATCAGTTTACCAAGGGGCTACCACGTAATGTGATAGACAGTGCATCGAGGAAAATGGGCTTGATACCCACCTAAGGTTGCACAAAAGTGGAAACCTGTCCATTTTGATCGGAGATCCCGTGAATTTGGATGGCGAAACAATAGTCTATTGTGTGGCTGAGAGAAGAGACCCTTGAAAAGGGCTCATTTTCATGATGTACTTCTCTTC